TCGTATCTGAAAAAAATCTTAGAATACGAAAACATTGGTGAATGCCACAAATTCTCCTAAATCACTCTTACGCACAACTTAAGAACAAATCTGTGTGTACGAACGGTTCCTGCATGAGGCCCAATGTGATCAGCATAATTAATGAAGATTTTTTTCGAAGTAAATCTGATGGGTCATTTCCACCTCTTCCTGTTCAGACATGAAAGAGAAACACTAGAAATGAACATTACTGTGAAAAAAATGGCCCAAGCAGTTACAAAATGCGGATAACTGTACGTTTATGGCAGGGGAGAGAGTGGTAGACAGCATCACATGGTGGTGTGGAGGATGACTGTTGTTGTGAAGAAGAGGAAAAAGAACAAACGGTGGAAGCTTAGGATGGAAGGATGTTGTTCAGAAAGGATATGTTAAAGGCTCTGGGCAAGAAGGAGCTTCCAGATGAYTGGACTGCTGCAGACACAGATTAGAGACATAAGTAGGAAGGTACTTGGTGTCATCTAGGCAGAGAAAAGATGATCAGGAAACCTGGTGGTGGACTAGTGAAGTGCAGGACGTTATCCAGAGAAAGAGGTTAGCTGAGAGGAAATGAGACAGTGGACGTGTTTCCGTTGGTTTTTTATGCACATTTTGTAGTATTGCATTAGAAAACGTTGATAGAAATGACAAAATTTGAAAAAAAAAAAAACTTACTCAGTTTCACTTGAAATGGTATTTGGAATTTAAGAAAAAGAGTTAATGCGCAAAAGGGGAGGTGGAAACACATTTGCCAATTAAGTGAACATTTACGTCACATGGTTAGTCAGCTGTTCCTGCTCTCTGCATTGGCGTTTCTTTCTCTACGTTTCCAGACAGCATGTAACATCGCCAGTATTAGTTGTTATGACAGAACATTTACAACTTGCCTGATAGCAACACATTCCTGAAAACATCTCTCCATTGTTCCGGGATGTGTGGTCCCTGTTAGTTTACAACCTCTAATTCCTGTTTACTACAGCCATGCATAATGTTGACGTCTGGTTGATTAGCTCCAAACTAGTAGATAGAAACACTCCTTATTTGCATTTCTTTTCTTTTTTTCTTTATTTGTTACAGCATTTTAAAAATTTGCTCATAATTCACATCCCAATTGGATGGAAACATGGCTAATTAAATACTTAAAAGAGTAGACAGGAATATAAGAAGATGCAAAGTAGAGCAAAGAGGGAGGTACCAAAGACAAAACATAAGGTCTATGATAGATGCTGGACACTAAGGAGGGAGAGAAGGGCTTGTATCGACTGGTGAGACAGAGAGATCAGGCTGGAATCTGTGTTGATGACTTTTGAACTACAAGAGTTTGATTGCAACAATCAGTTTCTGAGACAATTCTTTGGTATGCTACATGACCCTTGTTCCATTGGAAAAACTTGCCCTTGATACAAGAAGGCAGTCATTTCTGGCCATTGCCTAAAAGATTGGCCCCCTCATCCATTACTTGTTGGGGTATTCACGTTTAATTTACCTTTGAAATAAAAGTGTGTTTTTGAGCCTTTTGACTCAACCTGTATATCTTAGTACACCAGAACAAAACATGGCAGATCCACAAATGTGAGACAAAAGTACTTTCTTTAAATGGAGCTCCTGGTAAAGTTTTGAGTTGTTTGGGCTGTGCCTCCTGTCCCCTGTGATAATTCAATCTGGTTCAGATTGTGAGGTTTCAAATCATGGATGAAGGAAGCACAGGAAGTTAGGTGAATGATGGATCTGGATCCACTGTTGACGGAGCCTAACCTTCCATAGTTCACACAGGAAGTACATCCTGTGTTGGGTTTCTTGTCAGCAGATTATCACAAGGATGGTGCTGACTTATGACAATGATTTCAGTGTTTATTTCCTCCTTTCTTCAAGTTTTATCCTGTTTTTTATATAATTGTCTCTTTGAAATGTTTCTGTCATTTAGTAGTGGAGAAAATCTCTTTTCACATTTCTTTGACTAAGTGGATTACCTTTTTCCCATTCTCAGTGAAAAGATGCTCGTCTGAAGTTATCTTGTAATTTCAATTTGTCGCTTAGCTGAACTTCATTCTGTTTCTCTTAGCATGTGTTTTTTTTTCAGTTTTTTAAATTTTATTTTATTTTTTTTAAACAGACCTGAATTGTCTTTCTGTCCTCAAACTTCTACGAAGCGCATCCTGTCAAAGGCAGGTTCAGATATAAACACTAAACTAAACAAGCATGTTAGACAATTTTTTTAATCGACTCTGATTCAACAACAAGATCCATCGTGCTAAAATTAGCATCCATGCTAAGTCTGTAAACAAATAAGCCAGATTAGTGAGACGTCACCTCTTTTACTGTGCGTGCGTGTCGCATCAGCACTGTGGAACATTCACACTGGAGTCAGATGGAGGTCGCATTTAAAATGTAAGGCGAACGTTCATGCCAAAAGATCGGATTTAAAAAAAATCTGAACTGAGCACTAAGACCTGCAGTGTGAACTTAGCCCAGGTTTCAGTGCAGAGGTTTCCAGGACCCCACTTGCAGGGATGTGAAATAACAGATGAACATCACAGACGGCTGCAGTCGGTAGTTTTTTGTACGAGTTGATAAACTACAGTAACAATGTGGATAGAGTGACCTTTTCAACATGTAGGAGCTACACGATCTCATCCTCAATCCAAAAGATGGTTCTTGTTTTCACAATTTTGGACGGAGCTGTTTGCATTCAAACGGTGGACAGAACAGTCTACTGCAGCTCTCGTTTAAAAACAAAACTCACCTGGCATCGGTGTTGCCAGATATACCATAATTATAAGATGGTATTAGGGTGAAGCCCCCTCCCTTTCTGTGTACAATCAGCACACACCTCATCTAACAACCTCCCTCCTCTGAGAAAGTTACCCCTCATTCAGCACATATCATAGTTTGGGTGAAATCATTTTAAAGTGACAGTACAATAGTTTGTCATTTCCTATCTGGCAACCCTGTCTGGCCTGGAAGCTGCAGTGGATTCAGCGAGCACAGCAGTATTCAGAAAAATGTGTTTTTAATGTTTATTCACCACAATCAATATAAAAAAACACAAATGTTTCCAGAGATTGTTCATGTGTAAACAAGGCTTTAGTCTCTTGGCTCGGCTCCTCCTGCAGACCTTCCCTGAGTGAGTGTATGCATGTGTGTGTATGAGTGTGTGTGTTCTCTCTTTTTTGTTGGAGGAGGGGTGGTTTGGATTTGGAGTGCACGCAGCCGAAGGAGGTTGTTTTACAAAGCAGATATGAAGCTCTGTTGCTGAAAGAAAAACTCCTCCAACATCTGGATTCTCCCTTCTGACTCTGACCAAAGACAGAATCGTCTGAACAAAGACAGATTTCCACTACTTGATGTTTCAGTTGCTGTTTTTGCCTAGAAATTTGCTTCTACCTGTAAGCAAAACAAGGTGACTTTTTTTGGGCAACAAAGGACTACGAGGAAAGGAATGTCTGGTCCAGACCTGCTGAGAGTTTGGTGAAACTCTGCGTTCGTTTCTCTTCTGAAATGTAACAAAGAACCTTTGTTTCACAAATGAGACGATCAGCTGTTACCACACTTTTTGCATGTGTCACCATCCTGCAGCAGTACCAGGCTTTTTATTTTCTTATCGCTTCGTTCCTGCCTCTTTCATCACATATGCCCCTCTCTGCGGAAGGAGGAGTTCATGACCAGACCGAAGAGGACGGTTTCAGCAGGACGTTTACGTGAAGAGAAATAAAGGAGCACCTTTGGACCTGACTTCTTTTACTCTGAACTCACCAGACCTGATCATGGACTGCACAGCCACGGTTTTAAAAACCTGCGCTCGCTCCAGAAGCAAATGGTGTCRACACCAGAGGTCCTTCGTTCATCGGTCGCTGATGCCGGCGACCGGGGTCTGTTGCGTGGGGACCCTAGGGGTCGTCACCCATGCCTCCACTCTCTTGCACCACTTGCTGACTCACTTGTGCTGTTGCCAGTCCTGTGGGGACAGTCCCGAGCCATGTCAGGACTGGGAAGATCATCCAGTTGATGAAGAGGAGAGAGAAGGAAGAAGAAAAGAGGAAGGTGAGTAAAGAACTCCATCCTGGAGTTCAACAGGCTGACTTCTGCTCTCCAAGGATAAAACAACATGGAGTCAGTTCTTAAAATGAGAGTGGTTAGGGGTCGTTTTATGGAATCTGTTAAAGAAAGCTCTCTGTTGCCTTTGAGATTTGTTTCTCTGAGTTTTCTGTTCTTCAAGGAAGTAAGAAACAAAAGGATATTTCTGAGGTTCACATATGGTGGTGAGGGTTTATTTTGTGTCGCCTATGACAGTGGTTTCAAAACCTGGAAGCCCGCCTCCTTAAAGGAGGTGTCAGACTTTAATGACAGGGTAGATGTCAATGTGTCTGTCACTTTTACAAACCAGTAATTTACTACAAAGATTAATAAAAGTAYGAGCTGTTTATCACAGCTTCTTTTGAGAAGTGGTTTGGGTTTTATGGAATTAAAAGAACTAAAATCAAAATGAAATAAAAAAGACCAACATATGCAGCATAGACATGTATATTTTCTACAACATAAAATAGTCCATGGAGACTTCACTCCACAGAGTGACAAACTGATTCAACATGCTAAGTCAAACTTTAGCTAACAGTGTGATGATGTGTGCAGTGAGAAAAAAAATGTCTGGCTGATGTTTGTGTACAACTTGACTCAACTTCAAGAGAACAATTCTGTTGGTTTTCAAGGATTCAGTGAGTTTTTATTGTCATTCCAAATGAGTTCATCAGGAAGGAAAGATAGATACCGAGGTCCCACTTGTCAGCAGTGCAAAACAAAATAGACAATTAGAATGAAAAACTAGAGTGTATTGCAACATACAAATGTACACATTCAGCCACAGTAAGAAAAGTGTACTAAAAAGCCCACTGATCTGTTTTACTGGATTGGACATCGCCTATTACACGCTATAGCTAGTGACACACCACCACAGGCTCCATTACTATGCATTGAGTCATGTCAACAAAACCGTACAGTTTCAATAAGGGATGCGCATCAGTCTGTCACAAAAATATTTATAGCGACCTTGTTTCCTATCCGATTTCTATAAAATATGGCTTAATGACACTTTTAATGATAATTTAGCCTTTCAGCCAAAATCTGAAATGATTGCATTTAAATTAGGAAACTGAAGAATGGAATTACAAGCTCCACTTACACAGTATATCTATATCTATATATCTAAAGATATAGATATAGATATATAAAGTTTAATTCTGTATTTGTTTCATGGTTTTTGATTCGCAATAGCGGAAGAAGAAAAAGTTATGGTTTTTTTAATCTACATTCTTACATATAAGATAATAAATAATAATAAACTACTGGACATAATGCGGGATATGACATATGCTGACTGGACAGAACACCAGTCCTATAATACAGATCTACACAGTTCAGCCTAGTAGTAGTAAAGGTAATTTTACTGTTGTACATCATATTTACAACCTCCCACACTACTATCTTAACATGACAACAATATTAATAAAAATATATACATACAATACAATATATAATATATAATATATAATATAATATACAATATATAATTTGTTGGAACGGCATATTTTTCTTTTCGACCCAACATAAGGTTGTCAAAATCAAGCTACATAACTGACCTACTTCCTGCATCTCCACCATTTGTTTTAAATAAAAATTATTTTAATGACCTGTGAAATGTGATACTTTTTGATCTTGTTGAATTGTTGACAAATTATAGCAAAACATTGTAGCCCTTTTTGCTATTCCTTGCGTGACTGTCTGCTGCATCTCATTTTCACGACCATTCACGTATGTTCCTGAGTCCCGACTCAATGCACAGCAATGGCACCTGTGCCCAGTGCGATCAGTCACGTGATGTAGAATCCAGTAATACAGATCAATGAAAAGCCTTGAACAGAGGTGGGTTTGACTAGTTTATAGATTCATAAAAAGAGTTCATGTCCCTGATTGCTTCTGTTCCTCATTCCTGTTGATCTTGCTTTGATGCCACAGTCCCGTGCATGAAGGTGTGGGGGCCCAACAATCTGTGAGCAGGATGAATGGAGTCTTTCCTGATGCTAGCAGCTCTGCTTCTGCACCTCCTGATGTAGGTGTCACTGACTGCTGAGAGGCTGCACCCCATGATCTTCTGAGCAGACTTTACCAAGAGCTGCGAGTTTTTTTTTGTCTGCAGTAAAGTGACACGGGAGGTGATGATGCTCTCCATGGCACACATGTGGAAGCTCGTGAGGACTGTGGTGCCCAGTCCAGTTTGTTTAAAAATAATATGCACCCCCAAGTACTTGATGGAGGGAACTTGGGAACATCTTGCACCTCAGCTCTTCCATTGGAAGGGGAAAAGAAAAAAAACATTCTTATAAAGTTTATATTTCATTTATGAAAGAAACTTGTGCAATACACTTTTACATTTCCACCGTAGTGAACATACTGGTGATTATTCCATTTAGTCTGTCATCTGAGTGAGGAGAACTTCTGACACACCTCAAACACCTCATGTTTATCCACAAATGACCTTAGGGCTTGGAAACTATTCTTACTTGAGGCTTTAGAAGCGTGATTTCTTCCATAATTGATGTCTGGAATCTATAACTGTAACAGAAAAGCTGTAGGAAAGCAGACAAACAACAACAAAGTGGCAAAAAAGCTAGTGGTCTCCTTGTCTTTGGAACAGCGCATTCTTCGGCGTGTCATTTTGCTGAAAATGTTCTGTTCTCAGAAGTCGGTTGTTAAATTAGTAAGATGGACAGCTTTGAGGAGCAGCTGGTCTGTCTTACTGAGCATGTGAACCAGCCACCAACGTTAATGCCTTCCTTCCATCTTTGCCCTTCACAAAAAAATGAGTTTTTCCTCCTCCAGCTCCTCACACAACACATTACTGATACATTAAGTGAAAAAAAAAGATCAATCCTGCTATCGCTGTTGTTGTTCATATGTTTAGCTATGGGCTGTGGGAGGACAGAGGGGAAATTATGACAATTTATCCCCCACGTTGTATGCATCAGTATGAACACTCCAAAATGACATAATCACTGATCCATTGTCTCATGTCTTGTAGAAGTGAAGTGACGTGGCCATGTGGACTGTTGTTTTTTAAGTGTTGTCCAATCACAGAGTTCCTTTGGCACAGGTCCTAGAAYTTAAACCACTTAGATGCATTTGAACTAATAGACCTTATAACAAAAGAAAACCAAATAGTTTTAATAAACATGATCTGCTTGATTTAACAAAAAAAAAAATCAGAATATTTCTGCAGTCATAAATTCTGACATTCCATCCTCTGTCAGYGTCCTTCTCTAACGCCCAAAAGAAATTTAGGCCTTACTAAATTGTTCAAACGCTGACGTTTTGACTGAAATATAGGAAAAAAGCAAAGGATGGAATGAAAGATGAGAAGACAAAGACGGAGGAGGAAATGAACAATAAGACAGACAGAAATGGAACAGTCTGTGTTTGATCTTTGCTTTTTCTTCTTCTTCTAAAAGCAACTCGGCAAACCCTGTCATTGACTGACCACACACACAAACAGACGTGCTTTGTGGCTCCATCGTTTTTATTGCTGTGTGTGCGTGTGTGTGTGCGTGCGTGTGTGCGTGCATGAAATGCTTTCTCTGGTATTTTGTCCAGCAGTCAGCAGTTTCTGTCTGTAATTACAGACTCTAGGAGAGAGACAGAACAACATGGACTTCCATGCTGTGTGTGTGTGTGTGTGTGCGTGCGTGCGTGCGTGTGTGTGCGTGCGTGCGTGCGTGTGTGTGCGTGTGTGTGTGTGCGTGTGCGTGTGTGTGCGTGTGTGTGCGCGCGCAGATGGGGGCGGGGTGTATGCAGCCATCCTGACATATTTAGGTCATGATAGTGAATATATTAAGGATCATTCACAGTTTTGCCTGTGTTCTTCTCAGCAGGATTTGACTGTTTTTCTTGCAGTTTGCTCTATTTTTATCATCATCATCTTCTCTAATCTAATATTTTTACATCCTGGGTTTGAGGAGCAAATGGGACTGCAGATCACCAGGACTACAAATTAAATGGGCAGGACTTCAGTCCTCAAATCAATTCTTTGTCAATAAAAAGAAAACAGTAAATAATGGAGTTATCTTATTTTATTATTATTATTATTTATTTATTTTGCAGTAGTTGTTTTTATATGCATGCATGATACAACATGCATCATTCTGACTTGAAAATATGGGTTGGGTCATATTGGCTTATACAGTAAACTTTTGTGGTAGAATACTGGACCACCATCTAAATCACACAACCCAGGAAAAACCAGTGTCTGATTAGCTACGCCCCAACTTGTGTTTTTTCCAAATGAGCTGCATGTTTCACTTGAAATAAATACTTGAAATGGGCCAAAGATATCATGGTATTTGTGCACCTTGAGAGCTGACAGGCAGAAACATGGCTAACATGAGGGGTCAACTGAACAATGTTGTTTCTGTCAGGTCTATGCTGTATTTTTAATGTTGTACTTGTTGTAATCAGCTTTTTGAACTGTGTTATGTTTGATTTATCCACCTCTGCAGGGGTTAGCTTTGCGTGCTTCCATTCCTCTATTGATCAGTAACCATGAATCCTTATAAACCAGAGTTTGGTCTATATTAGAAAATTGAAAATGAATTATTTTTTAGCAGTTTACATGTGCCTACATCATGCACAGTGAGATTGTATCATACGACAACCCACCGCATCCTGCGTTCAGCCCCTCACCTAGCAACCCCGGGGTGAGGCTCCACCTCCTCAGTATAAAAAGCCGTCACGGTGTTGTTGTGCAATGTGCAGCTCATTTCACGATGAGCCTTCCAACAGGGTAATGGGTAGAGTATTGCACCAGCGAGTAGGAGGCCAGGGTTTGAGACGGCACGGACACAATTTAATTTTTTATTTTTGTTCGTTATGAACACGTTTTCTCATGTACCTCTATTGTTTAGCTTATTAAAACCTTGTTAAAGCCTATTTGTTCGAGTTTCTGAGGTTTTTTGACCGCTGCTGCTCCCTGCTCTGGTAACAGCATGCAGAGTGAGCGCAGAGCTCGGACACAGGAGGAGGGGGAGAAATTGAAAAATGCTGCGACCACGACTCTGCCTCTGGGTCTGACTCAGGGTCTCATACGGTTGTACAATGGGGCTTCTGCTATTATTAGCCATGCTAACGTAAATGCTGGCTTTAGAGGGCGGAGTTAATGTCAACAGATTTTTGGACGGCGTTACCAACAGAGCTCATTAACATAAACAGCTCRTTCTGAATGGAAGTCAGAGCAGGCAGAACTAGAAAATGGGAAATTTTATTTTCTGAGAATTATTTTGTGCATTAAATTGAATGAACATGGTCTGAATAGCCCACAGATATACCATAAAAATTTCTAGGACCCATAATTGGTCTCCTTTAAGCTGGAGCTCATTGTTGTTCATTTTGTTTCCAAGCTCCGAGCAAGAGGTGGAGGATTCCAAGAGGAGTGGGTACAGAGGTGGTATGTGAAGCGAGTCCAGAGCAGGTGAGTATAGGTGGCAGGCAAGCGTGGAGAGAGGGAGCAGAGTAGGCAGGTAGAAAATGAGACAGACCTGATTTCTTCTGAGCGATAAGCTCATGAGGAGTTTCCAAGAGTAGAAGAGTTCCCACAGGTAGGTTTGTGGCAGAATGGTTCCCAGATTGCAGAACTCGCAACACATCCACACAAGAAAATCACAATGATCCCACGAGTGTTCTAGGATAAGGGGTCAGGGTAATAGAGAAACACAAGGATCCTCTGAAGCTGGAACATCACTATGAGTGCACAAACCGACCAACGAAGAATTCTGAATTAGCTCCGCTTGATAAAGCCCTGGTGATCAGCTGATCTGGAACAACTAAGCATGGGCTCTGACAGAGGACAGCCCTGCCCAGTATGCACACCAACCTTTTCACATGGCTCACTGATCACAGACACTCAGAAATCAGTGAGACTGTTACAGAAAGTGTGCATATCATATATCACAATTTGGAGTCTCCAGCAGTAGCAGCCAAGTCAGATACTGGCTTTACTGCTCTCCCTATTCACCGGAATCCCTATTCACTGGAGTCATTCCCTGTTGTTTTGCTCTAAACTTTGCATTAAGCGGTAAAAGTTGTAACTTCTGAACCTCTTTATGTTGACTGTTTGTGGCACAAAGGGAAACCTGTGATGCTTACCATTTGCACATAGATGTCTGAATGTTTGAGTTCCAAGTCAGAAAAATCAATTGGAATGCCTCCCAAAGTGGGAAGCCTGACTGATAAAAGTTAAAGATTTCTAATAACCAGCCCCAATCTCAAAAAAGTTGTGTTAGCTGCAGTTATAACCCAGTTATTTTCACTGTTGTTGGTTTGTGTCACGCTGAATCAGTCACACAGAGTCATATCTTTCTTTATTCGGGGCACAGAAAAAGGTCTATTTTAAAAAAAAATAAAACAAGCACATACAAAAGATAAATAAGATAATAGATTCTAAAAAAAGAAAGAACAAACCACAGCACATAGTATTGTTCACTGAGCCACAAATAAATGATGACATCAGTGGTTCCACAATTTTGATGTAAATCTTTAAATCTTTTAATCTGTAAATCTTGTGGGTACAGCACTATTTACAAACAGTTGGCCAGCCTTCCTCCATCTAGGGACTTCAAGTAATAGCATCATACCATCATTGCATGCCACATAGTTTTTGTATGCTGCTTCTATTGTATCGTCACCACAGATGGGCAGTGTGTATATTCCAACCAATATCAGTGAATACGTTGCTACAGTTTGAATGCAGACAAATTCATTGTTACCAACATGCATTGCTAATAGTAGTTACCCTGTTCATGTAGCACAAAAATTAGCAAATACTGATGTTTTTTAATTGATTTTTGTTTTTATTTATTTATTTTTATTTTTGAAACACAGTTGAGTATGACATCATTTTTAGGTCCAACATCTGATGGGCAATGATGAATTTTAAAATCCCTGTTTAAACCTGAGGGGGTGCAGGGGTGTAATGGTTTAACATGGATAAAAATGTGCAATACCCCAAACAGCTTTCTCCACTGACAGAAACCGCTGAGTAATGGGATGAATCCCAGGGGGATTAGAGGCAGGGGTTGAGACGAGGCCWTTTAGTCAAGAGTTGTTTGTAGTAGAAAACAATGTGTACTTGACTCTTTACTAAAATAAATAAGAAAAGCATTTTCTTTACTCCTTTCCATCTTTTTTATCCAGATGAGGCTGAGGAGTTAGGACCACCGCCTTCAGCAGATGAGGCAGCTGACGTTCTGATGGCCAGGCTGGGTATCCTGCTGGGGGAGAAGATCACCAGTGGAGAGCAGGGGTCTTCTTACCACAGTCAGGATGATGGACAGGTAACCATCTGATACTGAGCAACCTTTGGACACTGAGGTTAGGTTAAAATAACATGAAACCATCATGCTGCTCACCATTAGTCAACTCTTGTCTAAGGCCTGAGTCACAAATCATGCAGATTTTTGCCCTTCCGACAATCTTAAAGAAGTCCAGATTATCCTGATGGCTTTAAAGATAATCATAGCAGATATTCCTGCCGTGGGTGGTGAGTTAAGAGTGATCTAGTCGGCTCGGAAGTACGTCGGGACCGTTCCGACTTCAAATCGGGATATTTAACATGTTTGATTCTTTGGCCCGATATCACAGTGTGTGTAGTGTTCACCCGAGCTCTCAGCCTGTGAATGAAACGTGTAGCCAATCAGAAAGTGAGGTGACGTAAACACTGAGGGGATTCCAAAATACAGAACACAAAAAACTTTCATGACTGACCAGAAAGTCTGCTGGATGTTAAAAGTCCTATGGAATTGTTTTTCCTCTGGTAAAAAATAGTCCGCAAATGATCCACATTGTTTCTTCCTTGTTGCAAATGTTTATTTACTCTGAACTCACGTCTCTCTGGAGGTCACGTGAGATTTTTCCTTGGACATCTGAATTCTCGCGAGATTTCAGGAAGTCTCGCGTGATTTAAAATCTGACATCTGAATGTTCATGAATGAAATATCTTTTCATGTATGGTGTGTTGTCTCTTGCTGTGTGACTGTACACCACACACTGTAGGACCAAACCTGGTATATCCATGATTTTTTATCCTCACGTGTCTGAGACTGAGAGAGCCCACCTCTCAGTCTTTGAAAATCAACCGACTGCTTTAAAATCTTGTAGTGAGACTCAGCCTTAAGCTGAGCTTCCACATCTCTCTCCCAGAACTTCATCATGTTGCTCATCAGTTTAACTTCACTGTAGTTGCTACAACTCTGTACATTATTGTTCTTAAAAATTGATATCAGCTCACTTCTCCATTCCTCAGGGATTTTCTTACTGTCAAAAAAGCTACTGAATAATCAAATCAAAATCTCACTGCCATCTCTCCTAGATGTTTTCAAACTCCATCCTCTCTGATCCTTGCCCTTTCCTGGTCAACAGTTTCTATGGCCTCTTTTTTCATTTTCATTAACTTTAGATATTGCAATACAGCATGTGCTTGCACATAATGCTATTTTCAAAGTAAGACTAAAATGATTTGTCAACATGATATGATTTTAGTCTAAAGCTCTGGCATAAAAGGAAACAGACAATATGCATTTCTTCAAAGAATGCAACCAGATACTTTCGACAGTGGTGAAAAGGTTTATAAAAAACATTTGCATGGACCGCTCTTAAACTTGTGACATAATGTACTTCACAAGATGTACAACAGCTTTTCTTGCTCATGTGGCTGAGAGATATTCTTCTTTGCATGGATTTTTTATACTCTAAGAGAAACTTCAGCGCATAACTCTTGGTAAGCTCCTCCACCACTGTTTCCAACAAACGAGCAAACATAGCAAACGAGTTCCGATGCTGCCCAGCAGGGGCGCACGCCCTCCCAGCCAGCACAGCCACGCAGAGCTGCCTGTGTCTCTGTGCTGTCTCCTTCGTGCACAAAAATTGGACGACCTCCTTCCTGAGTTCTTTGACTCTCTTTATGTTAAGTTTTCTTCGTCTTTAAAAGATTTGCTGGAACAGTTGTAAAGAAATTTGAATTGAGCATTGAGACCTGCAGTTTGAACGTAGTTTAAGTTCAAGTTTTCCCTTGAAAGAGTCTTATACAACCCCCAGTTCCAATGAAGTAGGAATGTTGTGTAAAACATAAATAAAAATAGAATATGATAATTTGCAAATCCTTTTCAACCTATACTCTATTAAATATGTGGCAAAAACAATATAAAAACGTTAAGTAGGTCCTGTGGCTCCTCAGACTGAAGAAGTCTGTTGAAGAAGAAACTAAATGTTTTTTTTAACAAAGAACTCGTCAAGAGAACTTACTCAACTTTTTTTAGATTTTTCTACCTGTATTATTGATATGCATCAGGACACTACAAGGACAAGATATTTAATGTTCAAATTAATAAACTATTGTTTGTTTGTTTGTTTGTTTTTAGCTGCATAATACTCCACACATTTTCATTTGGGAAAAAGGTCTGGACTGCAGGCAGGCCAGTCTAGTACCTGGACTCTTACTATGAAGCCACACTGTTGTAACACCTGCAGAATGTGGCTTCATTGTCTTGCTGAAATAAGCAGAGAGGTCCCTGAAATAGACGTGACTTGGATGGCAGCATAAGTCGCTCTAAAACCTGTATGTAGCTTTCAGCATTAATGATGTCTTCACAGATGTGTAAGTTACCCATGCCATGGGCACTAATACACCCCCATACCATCAGAGATTCTGACTTTTGACTTGGCACTGATAATAATCCAAACAGTCCTTTTCCTCTTTGACYCAGAGGACACAATGTCCATGATTTCCAAAACAATTAGAAATATGAACTCATTAGACCAGTGGTTCCCAAAGTTGGGGTCGGGAACCAAAGTGGGGTCCTGAAACATCAAGGTGGGGTCCCGAAAAGATTTTCTAAATTAATTACATTTTTGCCTTAGTTGCCTAAAATGAATAAATGTAGAATAATAAATATTGTTATTATGCCAATGTTAGTTGACCTGACACATGTTTATCATCCAAAAATAGTTGTGGGCACAGGTCTCTGCTACTGTTATTTTGTGGGTCAAAAGCTGAAAAGTTTGGGAACCACTGCACTTCAGAAATCGATTTWAAGGGTAATAAAATAATTGGTGATGTAATATTTTCCCTATGATTATTACAAAAACACAAAATAAGTATAAATAAGTATTTATGTTTGTGTAACCTTTGTTTTTAGGGTTGCTAACAAAGTTTGTGTACTCAGACCAGTAATATTTGGGGTCACAAGTTTTTGCCATGAATATTTTGTGGGTCACAAGCTGAAACGTTTGGGAACCACTGCATTAGACCACAGGACACTTTTCCACTTTTAATCAGTCCATCTCAGACGAGTCAGGCCGGAGAAGTCGTCTGTGTTTCTGGATGTTGTTGATATCTGTCTTTGTCTTTGCATGGTAGAGTTTTAACTTTCATTTGTAGATGTAGAGACAAACTGAGTTCACTGACAATGGTTTTCTGAAGTGTTCCTGAGCCCACGTGATAATATCTGTTACAGAATGATGTCAGTTTTTAATGCAGTACTACCTGAGGGATGGAAGGTCACAGGTATTCTCTGTTGGCCTTTCTGCTTACCTGCAGAGATTTGTCCAGATTTAGTTAATCTTTTGATGATATTATGGACTRTAGATGATGAAATCTCTAGATTCCTTGCTATTGTACATGAAGAAACGTTCTTAAACTGTTGGACTGTTTGCTCACGCAGTTGTTCACAAAGTGGTGAACCTTGCATTCTTGCTTATGAACAACTGAGCCTTTTAGGGATACTTTATACCCGATAATGACATTCACCTGTTTCCAATTAACCTGCTCACCTTTGGAATGCTCCAAACAAGTCACAAGTGTTTTGTGAGCATTCCTCAACTTTCCCAGTCTTTCATTACTGCTGTCCCAGCTTTTTTTGGAAGGTGTTGCAGGCATCAAATTCAAAATGTCTGGATATTTTATTCTGTTTGAAATGAAATGAACACATTTCTAA